TAGCTAAATGGATGCATATTGAGGCCATACTCTTAAGTGAAATAAATAGGACACACATGTAAATACCAAATAGTTTCTCTAGTGTGAGAAACTCAAAGCGTAAATAAGGCTCAAAATGATTAAAACGAATAATTGATAATTTGAAATAGGAAAAGGTCCAAAGGTGTAGGGGTGATGGGAGGGGAAGGGGAAAGGAAAGAAGGGAAAGGAAAAATTATGAGAAAAGAAAAAAAAAATGAAATCTATGTAAATAGGGAAGGGTGGAGGGGGTGAAGGGCGCACAGGTAATGGAGAAAAAAATAAGAACCAAGATACATCATGTACAGGTACAAGTACCCAGTGATAAATGTAAAATGTATTGTATACCTAAAATGTACTAATAAAAGAATTTAAAAGAAAGAAAGAAAGAACTTTAGTACTTAATGTTTTTAATCATAATATACTATTTTTACCATTTTTCTTTTTCCCTATGCATTTTTAACCAAGAGTAAGAGAGTTTTTAATGTTTTGTCAAGATATTGTAAAGATTATGGAACATCTGTAATTTTTCTCATTGATTATGAAAAATCACTTTGCATGGATTTTTAGCTTCACAGCTGTCTTTACAGCCCTATACTACCATTCAAAGCAAGGACTACCTGTAGCTTCTCATCTTCAATTATATCTTCCTTAATCCACAGATTGTTTATGAATGTATTTTAAGATTCTAAACATAGGGGGTTTGCAGGCTTTTCAATTTATCATTTCATTGCACTGGAGTCCAAGAATATAGCTTGATAAAAAGTTCTCTAGAATTTGTTGAGACTTCCTTTGTGACTTTGCTTAATAACAACATATATCCTACCATCACGGAATACAGGTCTTTATACACACTCAACAGATCAAACCTGTTGACAGTGTGTTCAAGTCTACTATAATCATTTTTTCTGCCTTATCAATTTCTGAAAGAAGAGTATTAAAATATCCCACCATGACTTGGGCTTATCAGCTTTTAGAGATAAAATTCTTAGATGGTTCAAAAAGTGAAAATAAACTCAAAGCAAAATTTGTTTTCCTTTGGTTCCTCTTATCACTTAATACAAAACCACATGTGTGACAAGGATTTAAATTGTAGTTAAGAAATCTCGTCAAGAGCAACAAACTGAACAGTCATAACATACTTACTACAAAAGGTGTAGGAACATATCTTGAAAAAAGGTACACAGGAACATCTTTAGCCAGCAAGACTGCAGCTGTGAGTTTAGCAAGCCTAAAAAAAAAAAAA